TCGCAATTGAACAAACCTACCAAAGAAACAATGAAGCAGAAAGGCAGCGATGAATCCGTGTTATCATGATCCTTCCGTTTTAGGCAATCGTAGAATAAACAGCGCTCTAAAACGATTCTGCCGTCGCCCACCGCCCACCTACACTTTATGGGTATTGCTTTGCTTTCTGAGACACTGTCACCTTCTCATCACCCTTTCGTCCTTGGCCTCTTCGTCCTCAGATGCACCGCTTGGAAACTGTCTCCTAATGAACCTTGAGGCATGCCGTTAAATGACACGGTAATCGACGTGTAGGCCATTGGTGTGCCGTGTGTGTTGCTGCGTGCGTTTCTGTCACAGCCAGCCAACTGTTGTCTGGAAACTACAGACTTTGTATGTGACGTCACGGATGTAGCAGTCATCACCGACGTTCCGGGCACAATGCGGTGAATGCAATGACGGAAACGGGATTGGAAACGGCCAAGGAGATCATGGAGTCGAACCGCCGGAACCGACGTGATAGGGTCAACCTCAGGCTACGGCACAAACTCGACCATCGACGACATCGAAATCTACTCAGTCGACGAGTCAACGACGCACGCGAGTGCACCATCTGAGAGGCCATGATTCGCAATGCTTTTTGGATACAAATAACAACAAATATATACATACACCCTCTACACCCTTGCCCGCCAGCCGAGGCCCGTGCTCCGGCCCAGCGATACTTTGGCACAAATGATGAAGCACATGCCGATCAGCAGCACAACGCCCGTAAAGAGCTGCGCGCCCAGGTAGCGTCCGTTGTCGGCGGTGATGAGGGCGCCGGCAATGGGCGGGCCGGTCAGGGTGGCGATGCTGTTGATGGTGAAGACCATGCCGATGCGGACGCCGGACTTGGAGAGGTCGCGCGTGTTGAGGCTGGTCAGGCCCGCGGGGAACAGGGACTGGATGCCGCCGGCGGCGATGCCGTAGACGACGCTCCAGACGTAGAGGCCGACGGTGTTGTGGACGGCGATCCAGGAGAAGCCGGCGACGGCGGCGTACAGGGCGAAGATGGCGTACATGTTGATGGCGCCGACGCGGTCAGCGATGTAGTTGGGGAGGAGGCGGCCGATGGCGCCGACGCCGTTGACGACGAGGAGCAGGTTGAGGGAGTCGATGTAGGCCAAGCCGATGATGTCGCGGGAGTAGGAGGCGATGTAGAAGAAGGCGATGTAGATGGACCAGAAGCACTGGGGGGGGTTGTTAACAGTTGAACAAAAAACGAGCGAAGCGTACGAGAAGGCAAGAAGGGTAAGACAGAAGCGAAGAGCGAAAGAAGTGAAAGACGACAGAAAACCCAGCGAGTGAACGAAGTGAGCAAAGGAAAAAAAAAAAAAACCTACAAAGAAGCTGCCGGCGGCGTAAAAGGTGTACTCGGGCTCGCGGAAGGCGGACCACTCGACGAGGCGGCCGGCCCGGCGCGGCGGCAGACGCGTGCGCAGGCCGACACAGGCGACGGCCAGGGTGGCCAGCTGGACGAAGCCGATGACGCGCATGGTCCAGGGAAAGCCGACGGACGGCAGCAGCTGGCGGACAATGGACGGGAAGACGAGGCCGCCGGTGGCGCTGCCGGCGGCGGCGAGGCCGAGGGCGAGCGCGCGCCGGGTGCTAAAGTAGGTGCTGACGGTGGCGAGCGACGGGCAGAAGATGCAGCCGTTGCCGAGGCCCATGACGACGCCCTGCGACAGAAAGATCTGCCAGTACTGCGTGGCCTGCGCGGTCGTGAAGATGCCCACGAGCTGCAGGACGGTGCCTGTGACCAGCAGATGCTTGAAGTAGCCGGCGTCCGTCAGGCGGCCGGTGAAGGTGCCGATGAAGAAGAGCAAGAAGATCTGGAACGAGCCGATCCAGGCAATGTCCGAGGGCGCGCGGCCGAGCAGCTGCGTGTAGTACGTCTGGAACGAGCCGAATGAGTTGATGACGCCCCAGGTGTCCATGATGACCAGGTGCGTGCAGGCGACGGCGATCCAGGCCTGGACGCCGCCGTTGGGGGGCGGGCCCGGGTCAAAGTGCTTGGACCGCGTCGTGCTGGCCCGGCTCCGGACGCGCGCCAGCAGGCCGCCTTGCACGCCGTCCTCGGGCTGCTTTCCGCTGCCGTGGCCGTCCGAGGCTGCACCGCCCACGACGCCGTCGTGGTTGCCTCGCAACGCCGGCCCATTGTCCGTCTCTTCGTTCTCGTCGTCTTCGCCGGCTGCTGGTTGGCCCTTTTCTTCGTCCACGACACTGGATCGTGCGTTGCCTTTTATGTCGGGCTGTTCGTCGTGTTTTGTGCTGGACGACGACGAGATTGTGGTGCTGTCTCTCGCCGTTTCACTCGCGTCGACGGCGTGCGGTGAGCCGTGTTGCTGGCCCAGGTTGTCCTGGCTGCCCGGCGGCGGCTGCGCCATCGTGCCGAAGGATGCCGTTTGAGCCGTCTCGGGCCGCGGTGTGCCGTCTTGAGGTTAAATTGGGATGCTGGGACGTTGGGATGACTTGATTCGGAGACTGTCGATCGTACGGGTGTTCTTGGAGAAAGAAAATATTCTTGTGAGAATTCAGGCCCTTGACAATATCAAGACGGACGAAGATGGGAGGAGTCCACAGTTCAACTGCTCAACAAGATACGCTAAAACAAAGGGGCCGAAGTCGCTATGTGAGGGCTGGTGTAAATACAATGCAGACAGGAGAAAGTAAACCGAAAAAGAGTGGGCAGTATGCAACTGAGGAGAAGCAGAGACGGCAGAGTTTCTATCTTTCACGGCTGTCGAGTCATACACAGAAGTGTGCAGACTCGACCCTTTGGTGTTGATGTGTCAACGATTCATCGCAGGGCGTACGGAAAAAAGGCCCCAGGTTACTTTCTTTGCATTTTTTATTACTACTCTTCTTCTTTATTTCTCCGTTCTTTTTTTCTGGGCCTTCCCTTTTCGGTCCGCCTCCTTGCCCGCTTCTTTGCCACGATTGCACGCCCACGCTCGCAGCCGTACACTAGCGTGGCGGTTGTTGTGGAGAAAGAAAAAGAACGAGGAGTCGGATAAGAGTTGAGAAGGGGTGGCGGTGATGAGATACGGATAGCAACAACCGGGGGAAGCTGTAACTAAAACTGCGGTGACGGCTGCTGTGATGGCTGTGATGGGAAGTTTCAACAAAGTGCTTGGATACTCTAAGTGGTCAACGGGAGCGGTCCCGGGTTTGGGTTGTGGCTCCACGGTTTATTGACGTCTTTGCATATCCCGAGCCACACGATGGGCCCCCCAACCTTGTGTGTTTTCTTGCCTATCGGTGGGTCAGCGCCGACGCCAACCGCTGTGCTGACTCCTCGATTCGTCGGTCCCTTCCTATCGGCCAGCGACCATGGGGCTCGATACGACGCCGGGGACCGCCAGAACCCGCAATCGCAAGGACATGGTCAGCGGTGCATGGCCGATGCGGTGATGACCATCAACACAGATTACAGACTTGCGGTCGGCAGCGTGGTCCACGGACAAAACGAGGGACAATCTTGCTGGACGCACGGTACAACACAGTCGCATGCACAACAAGGACAAGTACGAGGCCCTTCCAGACAGTCTCCCCACTGCAAAAGGCGAAAAGTACAGCTGCCCACATGGCTGACCAAGCTCGCTGTTATTGAAAGCGCGAGAGCATGCATCCAAAGGTAAGGTTGCACCAGTCAGTTTTTGGATGGTCCCTGGCGGACGCGAGGGGAAAGGTCCATACGAAGTAGTGCCGGCGAGACTTTATTTCCGCTGCTACTTCCGTCTGTATGGAATCATATGGGTCCTTTTGAAGGAAAGCAGCAATCACTCCGCAGACACTGACTCTGCTGCAGGACATCCAAATGGTATCAGTGCAGACCACGGATAGTGTAATCGTGCAGACCAGCGGGGAACGGCTGGAACCAAATGATTGCCAATCGATAACCAGCACCAATTTGCGGACAATCGGAAGTCGGGCATGAGCCCCGGGAAAGAAACCGGACAGGCCACCCGGCTGCGCGCCGCTCTGTCACAGGCATTACAGGGCGCTACTACATAGGTGTCAGTCCCGTGTGCCACTACAAAGCGGTCAGAGAGCACCTAAAGCCGAAAAGGCTCCAATCCACAACTCGGCGTAACGCCGAAACCAGACCTCCAGACTGCCCAAAGCAGCAGTTGGATCCGTCTTCTGCTGTGAGGCCCCTGGGCGGCTTGCACACGCAATAGCGTCCTGTTTGCCGAGATCGGATGGCCCCCCAGCATTCTCCGCTATTCGCTGCCGGGCGCCGGCCAACAGGGAAGGTTTGGCAAGTGCCTTTCCCCGTGCTGAGAGAAACACGAGCGGCACCTGGGCAACGTGAAGTCAAGGAGCACACGTCTGCAATATACGACGAGACGACATAGGACGTTGTACGGTTCAAAGATGATCGGCAGTGCGCTGGTCACCGTCAATGACGGAGCCTTTTTCTCAACGGCAGGTTTAGTCAAGATTACGGCGTGGCAGAGAGCGATCGATCTACTGTCACATTTACCGCCTCCAATGACAGCACGGAGACGGCCATGATACAGAAAGCAAGACTGTCGACGTCGAGACAAGATCGGTGCAGTTATTGAGGCGACTGGCGTCCTCTGTTAGGAAACATTCAATTGACAACCCACTCTTTCGTCACCACCTCCACAGTCCTTCCATCAGATTGTATGCGCACACGTAAAACAAATGAAACCGTACAAATACCACCCATCAGATGACACACAACCCCCTCCCGCAACATGTTACTGCAGCCCCAGCGGCCATCGGCCATCGGCCTGGCTCGGTTATGCTGACAGCACTCTTCAACAAAGGACAAATACTGATGACAAACACGCCCAGCGGTTGAACGATTCACCGCGACCGAAGAAAGAAAGAAGAGAAACGGAAGTAAGCAACATCAAACAGGACGCATATCAGCAACCGCGAAAATCAAACCACGTGCCTTTTGCTCGGCACACATGTCTCGTGACAGTGTAGACCACTCAGTCCGTCTAGTGGTGCCAGAACGGGGCTGCCTTCTTGCCAGAATCCTCTCCAATGGTCTTGTCGCTCGTCTCAATCGCCGCGCAGAACGGCGAGCCGTCGCAGACACGAGCCACACTCAAATCGTCCGACCACCACATACTGTCACGGCCGCCAGCAACGTTCTCCGGCTCGAGATCCACGGTAAACGACGACAGGTTGGCAAAGTCGTCGGTGGTGTCAAAGGCGACCGGATGGAGCGTGTTGCCCGATGTCTTGGTGGCGTGTGGAACTACAAACACGTGCGAGCCCGTTGCCACCTCCTCGCCGCCGGCCAGCCGGAAGCCCGTGATGTTGAAGCGGCACGGCGCGTCGGTCGCGTCACAGCCCAAGTTCCAGGACACCAAATTGAACCGCGAGCAGCTTTCGGCCGTACCAATCTTGGCCACACCGTTGGCAATGCCGTGGCGTATGGTGGGCGGGAGGTTGAATCGAAGCATGCCAGGCATGGAGGACGGGACGAAGCGGCTGTTGGGTGAGTAGACAACCCGCTCAAAGCCGCCGCTGAACTGCATGCCCTGGTCCGGGTTGGCAAAGCCCTGAGTGTTGGGAGCCAGCAGGCTCTCCTCCTGAATCACACTGTCGTCAAACTGAGTGACACGAAAAGGTTAGCAGCCGGTGAAGCAACGACCGCCACGTTCACAGGGAAGACTCACGTTCAGAACAATGCGGGCACCTTTGGGGTTGCGATTGCACTCGGCGTCTCTGACGTGGATGCCGTGGGTAGGGCTGGCAGCACCCTCGCTAACGTGGGTGCCTGTCACGTTGGCAAAGGGTCCATGTGCGGTAGGACGAGCGCCTCCACTGCTAGTGCCAGTGCCAGTGCCAGTCGCGAACGTCGTGACGTTGTGGTGATGAGGGCCGCCAACGGCCAGGGTTGTGTGCACGTTGGGGGCAGTCGTAGCTGCACCAGTGGCGGTGTGCACTTCCGTGAAAGTCTTGGTCTCCGTGACGACAATGACACCCGAGAATGCAGGCGATGGGACGACACCCGAAGGCCTCAGTGACGACGCAGGGGGGAATGCGATGCTGCCCGTGCCAGTTGGACCGGCCGTTGGGCCAGAGGGAAGCGACGCCGACGCCGACGCCGACGACGAGACTCCCGAGGAACTAGCTTGAGGTGTAGGACGCACTGTCGTGAGTGTCAGCGTCTGGTTGGCGCGGCCCGGTCCACCAGGGAGTGTGTAAGTCACCGTGATGGCATCCGATCCAGAGGGGACAGCAGGGGTCGTCTCCGTAGAACATGAGGTGGTCTTGGTGCCGTTGATGGTGAGCGTGACCTTGGTTGACAGAGTGAGGGTCAGCGTCTCCGGGAAACCAGTAGGCACCGGAGGGGAAGGCGTTTCACAGGACGTAGAGGTGGCAAGCGTAGAAGACGTAGAACATGACTCGGTGACCGTCTCCGACGCGCCTGAAGACTGGTCGATTGTGCTGGATACCGGCCCGGCTGTCGACGAGGACGGTGCAGGCAATGTGAGGGTAAACTCTGCAGTGATCATGGAGCCTGTGTGCGTGGGCAGGATGGGCATGAAAAAGGTGCTTGTCGGCAACGTAAGCGTGAACGTGGCTGTGATCATGGACTTGGGCCGCTTCATCTGGCCCGGTTTGGTGGACACCGCAGAGTTGGGCGCAATCACAGGGCCAACGCCGCTCTGAGATCCGTCCATGTCGGAGAAGATGGAGCGCATCGCACTTCCCAGCGACGAAGCAGACTTGGCAGAGCGGGACAGCTTTGAAACAACAGACGAGTCCAGGGACAGAGACGCAGATGGAAGTGGCATCGCAAGAGACGAGCTGATGATTGCACTCTCCGTGATGGTGAATGTGTGGACGATTGTGGTGAACCCAGACTCGAATGGCACTGTTGCGGTCGCGGTGACTGTGCTCAACGTGGGAGACGTCACGGACAAAGAGGACACAGGAGAGCTCGAGAGCGAAGAGGGGGCAACCGTAGCAGTGGCTGACGGGTGGGGAATGGGGACAGTAAAGCTCTCAACGACAACAGTAAAGGAGGGAACTGGGCCAGGCACGATGGATCCGTAGGGAGGCACCTCGGAGGACGACGCCGGAGACTGGTCCCAGTCATCAGAGGAGCTTGCGGAAGCAGATCCAGATGCAGAGGACGAGCTGACACTTGTGGCAAACGGTGACCAGGAGCCGGTGCCAAAGTCAACAGAGAAGGATTCCATCATGGGGACTTGGCTGGCTGAAGTGGCCGGAACGTATGGGTAGGTGCTGGGCTCGGGGGCGGAGCTGACAGAATCCACGGAGCTCGCCGAGCGGCCGGCATTGCTGGTAAATGTCAGTTTTCGTCATCTTAAACGTCTTGTTCAGAGCGTTGTTCAGAGAAGAGACGAACCCAAATGGAGCTGCCATGATGATGGGAAACATCCCGGAAGCTGCCAGAGCAGCCATTTTCGTGGTGACTTGCATAATGGCGATGTTGCCTTGAGATATGCGAGCACAGAGTGTGAGAGTAGGGTCGGAAGTAAGCGATTGTGCCGGGTGAGAGGTGATGGGTGGTGAGAGAGAAAGGTGGTAAAGAACGGCGACGATGAGACGAGACAGAAAAGGGAAAGAAAGGGGGCAGACGAGAGGAGAAGATGAGGTCGAAAAGAAGAAAGAGCAGGAACATTCTTTTGGGCACAGGCGCCTTCCGGTCGAACGCGCCTGCCGTCCTGTGTGGCGCGCCAGAACGTGTGGCGTGGTGAAGGTTGCCAGATGTGGAAGGGACGATGCGCAGACATCGCGGCGGTGGGACGACGGAGAAGGAAGGCACGCGCTGGACGCGGTTGGGTGTACACCGACGAGCTCCACCGCGATACACGTCCCGGTTAGGAAGGAACCACATCCTCGGTAGGCAATGAGCATGACATTGTGAAATATGTTACATGCGAGGAGACGTCATGGAAGGTCGTGATGATGGCAAGAGAAGAAAGAAGGATCACATAAAAAAGAACGTAGTGTCTAGAGAGGTTGCAAGTGTAGAGAAACCCGAAAATACAAAAAAGAACATACAATCCCAAAGCTACATACCATCCAGCCCTGTCTATTCATTAAAAAATAACAAAAAAAGAAAACGAGCAGAGTTAACGCGCATCGGCCGACTCAAACGGGATTGTCCTCATAGTGTGGCGGTTCGTCTTCTGCAGCGACAATGGCCCCGTCGCCCTCGCCGGCGCCAGGCACAACACGACCGTCGCCCAGGCCCTCGGCCTGCCGCCGCTGGCCCTCCAGCTCGGCCGCCCACAGGGCCGACCCGGCGGCGGACGTCAGCAGGAAGAAAAAGGACAGCACGGGCACGAGCTCGAGCAGCATGGCGACGGTGCCAAACCAAAGGTAGTCCCAGCCGCGCCGCGAAATCTCGGCGTTGCGCTCCTTGCGCGTGAGGCCGCGCAGCTTGTACCAGCGGTAGTGGGAGAGGCGGCCGAGGCGCGAGCCGGTGATGAGGATGAAGGCGGGCGTGCCGACGAGGGGCACGAGGTTGAGGGGCAGGCACACAATGAGCTCGACGATCTGGACGATGCTCCAGGGCTGGTAGGCGGCGGCGACGGTGGGCTTGCCGAGCATGCGGACGGCGGTCGGGGCGGTGGCGTCGACGATGCGGTGGGGGGCGACCAGGTCGGTGTAGCCGGTCTTGATGAGGGTGGCGTCAAAGACGTCGACGCGGGCCTCGTCGACGAAGAAGCCCTCAAAGAGGCCCTGCGTGACGACCAGCCCCTCGCCGAGCACGAGGACGACGGCGTTGACCCACGCGCCCCAGCCGTGGAAGATGGCGAGGAACGCGAACTGGGGCAAAAAGGCAAAGGTGAAGAGAATCAGGTAGACGATGAAGGAAATGAGGGCGAGCGGCAGCAGGCGGCCGGCGAAGAGCGGGTGGAACTCGCGGTGGCGGCAAAAGTAGCCGATGCCGCGGAGCGGGAACGAGGCGGCATGGCTGGCACGCCGCAAGTAGCCGCCTGCGCGGTGAAACGGCGGCGGCGCCGAGACAGTCCAGCGGTCATCCGGCATGGCTGTCGGGGTGTGGATGTTGGGAGGCTTGGCGGTCGTTAAAAACGGGAGGCGGAGAGTTGGAGGGTTTCGCGTTTGAAAGACGTGCGGGTGCTGGAGAGTCGGGAGAAGCTTGAGTAAGAATGTGCTGTAAAACGTGCTAAGAGTGCTGAATGCGGGAATGCGGGGCACCACTGCTGCAACGATGACGCAGGCCTGGCCGTCTGACTAATACTGGCAGTTGCACGGCGCCAACGGATGGACAGATTGAGATGGGTGAAAGACGATTGGCTACCGTTTCGTACTTACGTCGTCGGTACAACTTGCACTTGCATCCTAAACCAGGACAGCTACGCCAATGCAGAGGCGCTGACGATTGGGCGGGTAGGCGGCGGCGCTTGGTGGGGGCGCTTTGGAATCAAGCACTGTCTGACAAGCCTCCAACTCCAACACTGGACAAGTTGAAGGTGTCCTCCATCGCCCTGGCCTGGACGCCACCACGACGACGCGACGCTCAGGGCCCTCGGGACACGCCACAGTGACGGCAGCGGATTGTCAGGACGTTTATTGCCGTGCCTGTCGCTGGTGTTCGCGTCCCAGTTGCCGCCCTTTGCAGCCCCTGACAGAGTTGACACCGCTGCTACCGACGCGCCATCGCCGGGGCAGACGCGTCGCTGCATCGCCGCCGACAGCATCGCCCGGTCTCTAAAGGAGTCTATGTCCTAATACAGAGAATGCGTTGGCGTCGTCGTTCACTATGTCTTCAAAGCAGAGCGCCTTCGTGGTGCTGCAGTTACGTGCGCCCGTGTAACCGAACGGTCCGAGCAGCCGTCTTTCCTGGCTCCGAATCCCTAGTCGATGACAAGCCAATCGCACAGGTTTCAGCCTGATTTATCCTTCAACCTTTCCACACTCTCTCCCCGTATTACAGATAGCCTGAACGAAGCAGAATGAGAGCTAAAGAAGCCCATTGTGGCGAGCACGACGTCTTAGGGAGTATGTCGTACTTTGCGAATGCACACATCCCATGCCAACGGGGCTTGCTGACGGTCACTGCCAACGGGGCTTGCTGACGGTCACTGCCAACGGGGCTTGCTGACGGTCACTGCCAACGGAGCTTGCTGACGGTCACTGCCAACGGAGCTTGCTGACGGTCACTGCCAACGGAGCTTGCTGACGGCGACTGCCAACAAGCTAGCATGTTTGCCATGCGGAAAAGGAGCGAAGAGTGGACGACCTGTCGGGTCGGGGCCCAAATGCTACATTCCGTGTTCCGGCAGTCCACTCGAGTTGTGAGACCAGACACATAAAACGTTGGATGGCCCCGGCCCAGTCAAGGCACAAGTGTGTCTTCTTCTGTAATTGATGTTGATGTTGGATTCGATTTCGATTTCGATTTTGATTTGAATTTTGTTTACTGGCTCGTTCTTCTGCCTCGCCTCACCCTACGACATCTTCCTCCCGCCTCCCATGGCCCATACGTGGCTTGTCGCCTTCCTGGCCGTGTTCGGCGCCTGGTTCGTGTCGTCGGCGCACCGTTTGTACGTCAACTACCGCAATGCCGTCCGCAGCGGCTTCCCCGTGCTGCTGTGCCCCATCAACACGCAGAACCCGCTGTACATGGCCTTGAACCCGGTGCTCCGCCCCCTGCTCCAGCGCATCCTGCCGACCGCCGTCTACGACCGCTGGCACCCGGCGACCTTTGGCTGGGAATTCCGCGACCGCCACGGCCTCCACGACCGCATCGGCCCCGTCTTTGTGCTGGTGACGACGGGCGTCAACGAGCTGTGGTGTGCCGACCCGGCGCTCGCGCAAAATCTGCTGGCGCGCCGCAAAGACTTCGTGATGCTGCCCGAGGCAAAGGTCATCATGAGACTGCTGGGCACCAACATTGTTGCGTCGGACGGCGAGACGTGGGCGCGGCAGCGGCGGCTGATTGCGCCCAACCTCAACGAGCGCATCAGCGCCGTCGTGTGGAAGGAGGGTATGGAGCAGGCGAACCAGATGGGAGACTATATGCTGGCGGCGCCCGAGGACGGTGCGGCGTCCAAGACGTCCAAGACATCCAAGACATCCAAGACGTCGCAGACGGTGGCGAGCCTGCGCGCGATTGCCATCAACGTGCTCGGCCAGGTGGGCTACGGCCAGCCAAAACCGTTCCGGCCGATGGAGCTGCCGCGGGACCCCGAGGCGCCCATGGCGTACATTGACGCCGTCGGCCTCGTGACGGAGCTGCTGGCCCCGGCCGCCCTCTTCCCGAACAGACTGCTGGCGCTGCCCTTTATGCCCAAGGTCGTGCAGACGCTGGCCGCGGCCATGCGCAAACTGCCCGCCCTCACGGACGACATGCTCAACCAGGAGCGGCAGCGCCAAAAGGAGCGGAAGGTCGACACGGATAGCGGGCCGCGTGAGACGATCATGAGCCTGCTGGTGCGGCTGTCGGACCAGGCCCTGGACAAGGCAGCAGCGCCCGCCGACCCCCACGGCGCGCTCGGCCTCACGGAAGACGAGATTGCCGGCAACCTGTTCCTGGTCACGGGCGCCGGCTTCGATACCACGGCCAACACCATGGCCTACGCCGCCGTGCTGCTGGCCATCTATCCCGAGACACAGGCGTGGCTGCAGGAGGAGCTGGACCGTGTCTTTGGCGGGCCGCCCACGGGCTTGCCAGCCAGCAAACGCACCGACCGCCTCGCCGCCCTCGACTACACGACCGTCTACCCGCAGCTGGCCCGCTGTCTCGCCTTTATGCTGGAGACGCTGCGTCTGTACCCGGTTCTTCTCCACGAGTCCCGCGGCCTCCGGGTCGACGACGGCACCAGCGCATCGTCTGCCTCAGCGCCGTCGCTGGCGACCGTCACCGTCACCGTCCACCACACCACCCACCACCTCGCCGGCCGCTACAACGTGTTTGTCAACAACATGGCTCTCCACACCGCGCGGGCCACCTGGGGCGCCGACGCCGACGCGTTCCGCCCTGCGCGCTGGATTGCCGTCGACGCGGCGACCGGCCGCGAATCCGTCAAGGCGCCGCCGCGCGGCACCTTTTCCCCCTGGTCCGGCGGCCCCCGCGTCTGCCCCGGCCAGAAAATGTCCCAGGTCGAGTTTGTCGCCGTCATGGCCACGCTGCTGTGGCGCTGCTCTGTGCGGCCCGTGGTGCACACGGCCGAGGGCGAGACGCCCGCCGACGCCCGCGCGCGGCTGCTCGCTCTGACCGAGGACAGCCAGCCGCGGCTGGCACTGCAGATGAACCGGCCCGACGAAGCGGAGTTGCAATGGGTGGAGAGGTAGTGCGGTGAGGGTAGCCATGGTACATTCGTACGAAGGACAACAATTTTACATTGAATAGATATGGAATATGGAACCTCGGATGCACATTTGATTGAATTATTGCGATGTGCGGTAGACAGGACGCGATGTAGCCTCTCATCCCATGATTCTTGGTTGATTCTCTTCTGGTTGGTGGTCGGACTGACCCTGGCTGCGTCTGGTCACCTCCAGTTGCACTGGTACACTGGTACACTGGTACACTGGTAGATCGTCGTCGACCCTGTTCGCATCGCCGGATAAATGTAAACACATGGTGGCTTTAGCCGGTGAGTGTCGTTGTTGCTGTGCAGAGCCGCCAAGAAGGTTATTTCCAATGCCCAGGAAACGGAGATGGACCCAAGGCGGCACGCATCTGGCCAAGCCCGTTTTGATATGACGGCAAAGGCGACGGAAATAGACACCATTGTGTGCGGAGCATTACGTCGTCTCCGTACCCTGTCTGCTTGTCGATCTCCACCCTTCTGGAATGGCGACAATCACATGCCAAGGCGGCAAAAGGGACAAACGTTGAGCAACCCACGAGCTAGTACGGACGATCGATCGATGGCGTCCAACAGGCGATTTTGCAAGCCACGCGCTATCGACTTCCGAACTCTGGGGGAACTCTGGGGTGTTACTTGTTCATGGGGTTCTGGGGTTCTCGGGTTCTGGGCATCGGGGCATCTTATCTTGGCATCTGAACATCCCCATGATTATAATTTGCAACATATACAGCAAAACTGCCGAAGAAAATGCCGCAAGTATGCTGACGAAACGATGCCTCCCAATGCAGCCACCATCCTTCACAGCACCCAATTGCTGATCCATTGCTGATCATGGCGATAACAAAGCACGCCACAGGTGCTATATATATTGGCGTAGCACCAGCCATATTGGATAGTGACACACGCACGCCGTCCCCCCAAAAGGATAAACAGGATAAATGTTAAATCGACTTACCACGTCCATCCTATGGAGACGGGGACAGACGAGCCAAGCATCGCAGATTGAATTGGGCCTAGCCGACCACCACGCAGATGGAGATTCCGGGACCGTCGCCTAGCTCGTCGACGGCCTTGAGTTTCTGTCCCTGCGATGGACATGTATAAAGGTCGCTGACGACCGACCGAGGTGTTTGCTTTGTCTCGTCGGTTCTCATCTGCACACTTCAACACCATCTCCCGCTTCCCTCTTGTGTCTCGCGGCCACGTACTCTCCCTTTCCATTCACACTTGTCTCCTGCTCTCCATCCCATCATGGGCATCTTCTCTGCACTTGTCTTGGGCCTGGCGGCCGTCGCGACCGCCAACCCCATGCCCGTGGCCGGCCCGGCCTTGCCGCTGCCCGGCTCTGGCCTTGTCGGCTCGCGCACAGTCGAGGAGCGCAGCACGCCGACGGGCACCGGCACCAACAACGGCTTCTTCTACTCCTTCTGGACCGACGGCCAGGGCAGCGTGACGTACAACAACGGACCGGCCGGCGAGTACAGCGTGCAGTGGAACAACGTCAACAACTTTGTGGCCGGCAAGGGCTGGAACCCCGGCAGCCCGCGCACGGTCAACTACACGGGCACGTGGAACGGCCGCAACGTCAACTCGTACCTCAGCCTCTACGGCTGGACCAAGAGCCCGCTGGTCGAGTACTACATTGTCGAGTCGTACGGCACGTACAACCCGTCGACGGGCGGCACCAAGAAGGGCACCGTCACGAGCGACGGCGGCACCTACGACATCTACCTCAACAAGCGCGTCAACCAGCCGTCCATTTCCGGCACCGCCACCTTCGACCAGTACTGGTCGGTGCGCCAGTCCCGGCGCGTCGGCGGCACCGTCACGGTCAAGAACCACTTTGACGCCTGGGCCAAGGCCGGCCTCCAGCTGGGCTCGCACGACTACCAGATCATTGCCACCGAGGGCTACCAGAGCAGCGGCAGCGCCGACATTACCGTCAGCCAGGGGTAGATGGTGGGCAGGTAGGCTGACCACCTAACGACCAGCCAATCAGACAGGGTGGGCGGAGGTCGACGTGTAAATACGAGGGACGGACATAACGATAAGAAGGTAGCCTAAAGCTCAAGTCTTTCAATAGTTCATAACATTGTGTGTCGACACTTTGGTCCCAACCGCGGCAGACAGCGAGATAGTTCACAATGTCAATGTCAAGGATTGTAAGATAAAAACCACTTCATTCTGAATAAGCATATTCATGACATCGGCACTGAGTAGCAACGAATTCACTTCGTTCCGTGCATGGGACAGGATATCCTTTGTCTCGTTTCCCGTCCAATCAAGCCTTGGATCAACCTACATTTCCTGACAAGATGTCGTTTTCGCTTGGTACACATAATTGTTCTTCAAAACAAAAACTAAAA